CTACACGACAGGCCAATAAATCAAGAGATGATTTGCTGGGACAAGGAATAGAGACTTTATTCAGAAAGCCAGCCAACCAAGAAGATGGTGGACTAGTGTCCCAAAGAACCATCTTCCCTGATGAGAATACAGGCTTCTTTTATACTAAAAGGGGAGGGGCTCAGGGTGGTTGCTGCAGACTTTTTGGTGTAGGAATCCTTTGCTCTTGCAGCCGGCCACATAAGTCCCATCACAATCTTCCTATAAACCTCCAAGGAGATAAGTGTTATTCTCTGTTCTGCAACCTTTGGTCTCTATATGAATGGAAAAGTGTTATACCTTTAGAGGTCAGAGCCTTGAGAATGGGCTATGCTATATATTTCAGGTTATAGGCAACATTCTTAACTTGTAGCAAAAACAACAGAATACAAAAGTTAAAGAAACAGATCCAATATGGAATCAGATTTGTTCTTCCCTACTACACCATGGGCTCCATTTCTCTTTTTTTTGCCTGTTCCACACTATTCTTTCCTACTGAGAGTTTGTAATGGAGCAAGAGGCAACAAAGCATTGTGCAGAGATGCGTGTTGGCCTTATTTCAGCCTTACAGATTTGTTGCAGGGATTATGATGAATAAATGTAAAGAAGCTGGCACCGAGCCCTGCACTTGGCAGGTGCTCAATCAAAAATAGCTATTGCTTGGGATTGACATATGTACACTAACACGTATAAAATAGATAACTAATAAGAACCTGCTGTATAAAAAGATAAATAAAATAAAATTCAAAAAAAAAACCCTATTCAACTCTTTCAAGTCCTTGAAACCATTCAACTTAATTTTTTAAAGAAGCTCCATTTCCCCCCCATTCATTTCTCAGTTTAGATCATCTGTAATCAAATAGAGCTGTATAAAAAGTTTTGGAAATAAAAGCAACTGATTCTTGGTAAGCATATAACCAAACTGGTAGGAACAGAGTGGGTGGGCACACCTGAAAGTGGCCTGCCAGCCACAGATGCCCACCCTGCCACATGTGGGCCACAGGTGGGCACCTGGCAGCGTGTTTAAAGGCAGGACGGGGCCCACTGGGCAACCGGTGCGTTAGTTAAGTGGAGGCTGGTTGCGAGCATCTTCTGTAAACATTGAAAGTAGACCACAGTCATATCACCCTGTTTGACATTTTTTCATATTTAAAATACTACTGGGACCTTCCAAAAGGAGAAGTGGCTTGGATCTCTTTCAACCTCTGAACACCTGCTGCCCACCTTGTGAAGAAGCCCCCATCCCCTTTCCCATCCACTTTCTCATGATGCTATTTATTTTCTCTGTTACATGTGTCACCACAAGGTTGTCTATTTCACAGTCTGTGCTCTTGATTACTTTCTGTAACCGGCCCCCCTGATTCCACTAGAATGTAAGCTCCACGAGGGCAGGGCCTGTGCGGTTCCTACTCTTGGTGTTTCCAGCATCCCCAACACCCAGCATCTGCCCAGCACATGGACGGGCGGTAGTTTTGAGTAAAGGAATCAATGCCCCACGTGGCTTAGTTAACTGTAACTCTTAGATGTAAAAGACTGTCTTTTTAGATAGTGGGCAATGGTGTCCTTTCTCTCAATGTGTTCAAGTAGTGCAGGGCTTTTTCGTGATTTTTCTTGTTGTGAAAGGGTTTGACCACTGTTTGGACTTCCTTGCAGTGTATCTTTCAGAGTGCAAGACTGGAACTGGGAAGAACTACAGGGGGACCGTGGCCAAAACAAAAAGTGGTGTCGCCTGTCAAAAATGGAGCGACAATTCTCCACACACACCCAAGTAAGACTTTCTCTTTCGTCTCCGTGTTCACCTCTTATACTCAGAATGATTCCATTACTTCTGACTCAAACCAGAACATGTGACTAGCAGGTATGCGGAGAACCTTCTTGATGCTGGGGCAGAACCGTTCGATTATTTATGGAATAAAAGCAGGCAATGGCTGCTTTCCATTCGTTCTTGCGTGTATGCTTTTCTGGAAGACTGAGAACAATAAAAAAGAACTACAAAACCATGAATTCTAGGCTGAATCTGAGAAAAGACCAAAGATGACTATGCTTAGAAGTGAATTAGTCTAAATCAAATATACCATGTGTTCACCTCAACATTGTGAAAAACAGATTATCTTTCAACTTGCCTATTATTTATTTTAGTGTCATCCTTTTGGGGCTTTGCCCAATATGGTATTAGGTGGATTAAGTTCTCATTCACAATGCTTATCAAGTGGGAATTTAGTGTCTATGACCCTTCCCCCTCACCTACCCAAACAAATTGCCTTTATGCATCCCTATGAGATGGGCAGGTCTCATATTCCCAGCACATTAAGACTTATTGAGGTTAAAATGATTAAACCAAATGGCCAAATCATGGAATGTCAAGGGCCTTAGAGATAATATAGGCCGTCTCTACCCCAGCAGATGAGGGAACTGAGATCCTGGGAGGACCAAATCTACCAAACACAGGTACATAGAAGAACCAGAAACAAGAGCTACCATTTCAGATTCTAAGTCTTAGGTTTTTGTTTTTGTTTTTGTTTTTTAATTTATTTTTGGCTGCGTCGGGTCTTAGTCGAGGCATGCGGGATCTTTCGTTGAGGTGCACAGGCTTCTCTCTGGTTGTGGCATGTGGGTTTTTTCTCTTCTCTAGTTGTGGCATGCAGGCTCCAGGGCTCTGTAGTTGTGGTGCACAGGCTTAGTTGCCCCACAGCATGTGGGATCTTAGTTCCCTAACCAGGGATCGAACCTGCATCCACTGCATTGCAAGGCAGATTCTTTACCACTGGATCACCAGGGAAGTCCCAAGTCTTAGGTTTTTAATCTAATTTCTTATCGCTATATAGCAACTCATCTCTGAAAGTGAGCTTCACTCCATCCTCCCAGTCTCCCATTAATTCCGGATGCATCTCAGAGAGGATGTGGAATTTGGCATCAGGCAGATCTGACTTTAAACCCTTGAGATACTACTTATTAACTGCTCAAGCTTAGGCAAGATTTGATTTGTTTCACATGGCTGTGCCTCAGTTTTCTCATCTGTAAAATGGGGATAATAGCACCTTCCTGATAGGGATTTTTATTAAGACTACATTAGAGACTGTATAGAGAAATTTTAGTGTAATACCTCGTGCAGAGTTCACACAGACAAAAGGGTGTTAACTTCTATTACTTTTACAGAGAGAAGGGCAACTGACAAAAGCAGGCGTTAGGAATGCATCGTAAATTTGGCAGGCTTTTGAGGGCTCTGTATTTCTACTGTGCATAAAGACACTTTGGCTCTACTTCCAGGACTTGGCTGTCCACGTAGTAATGATAGTAATATTAGCTACTCTACTGAAGCAGGCTATCAGCAGAGATACTGAAAACTGGGTGACACAAATGCTATAGCACATAGCCGCAATGCATTTGGATGACACCACCTCGAATCACAGATGGGAAAGAGAGGGTGTCTTATCCTGCCTTGCTGAAGACATGCTGATCTTAAAAACATAGTCAAAGTGGTTGTTTTTCATCCTCCACAGCTTTTCACCTGAAAAATATCCTTCAGCGGGATTGGAGGACAACTACTGCAGGAACCCAGACAATGATAAGAAGGGACCCTGGTGTTACACCACAGATCCAAGCACGAGATTTGACTACTGCGACATTCCTCAATGTGAAGGTCAGGGGTGGCTCTAGAAAATGCTTTCCTATCTGCCCTTCGTCTGTGGAGTAATTTGCTGTGAATCAATTTTCTACAGGGATATTAATAATCACTCAGTGCTGTGTTTGACAGAATCAAGTAACACATGACCTCTTGGAGAGGACCAGTTTTGCACATTTTCCATTTATTGATCTAAATTATTTTTATTAAAATGTACTTCAGCAGGGACTAATATTAAACGAGATGTAAACTCTAGATGCAAACTTCTTATGCTTAAAGCTCTGACACAGTATAAAGCCAAAAACATATTTGCAATTCAGTCATTAAAATAAAACCACAAAATCAATACAATTCAAACACACAATATTAATTTAACATGATAGACTTTGTTGTTTCATTGAAACCAAGCAATGAACAAGTTTTTAAGTCAGGATTCTATCGTTTTCATGGACCAATCAATTTAATAGTGCACCTCAAAAGTCAATGCTAAAGATTTAAAACATCCTATTGAAAAATGTTCATTTCACATTTCCTGCTATATTTATTGGTGCAATGGGGGAATGAACAAGGGTGAGGTATGTGTAACCACATGGATAGTATATGTACCACGTGAAGGCTCACTTCCCCATCACTTTTTCTATTCCAACCATAGGGATCCTTTACTTGTACAGTATGTTATGAGGTCATTTGGCCCTTCACTGACATGAGAGCATCATTTTTGTATCAAGTCTGCTTCTGTTTTCCTTATTACCCCATAAAAATTAAAGTCTTATGTTACTTTGCTGCACCTTGTTCTTTCAAGTATTCCAAAGTTTCCATTTTTAAGTGATGTAAGAAAGAAAAACAGCCAGTCATGCGTCTCAATAATATAAAAACAGAAGCACTGTCCCTTTAGGTGAATACTGTTCCCACGTGAGGTCATGAACACAAGCAAAAACCCTTGCTCTAAAATGCTGAGAGGGTGCTGGCTTATTTGGCAGTTATCCAATCGACCAGAATAATTTCATAGAAATTTTTAAAGACCGCTATTGGAATGGGGACCCCAAATATCAAAAAATTCTAGTAGAGAACTTACAGACTCCTGAGATTATGTTCAACCTCTCCCCCACCCCCTTCCCACCTACCAAGGACCACACATCCCACTTTGAAGACATGGCATTATGGAGTTTCTGGATTTGGTCAAGACTATAATAGTTGAGAAGGTATTAACCAAAATATACTACTTTTACCATTTGAAAAAGAGAATGACGTTATAGATTGTATTAGAAAATTAAGCCTTTATTGCCAATTTTGTTGCCAAGTGATAGTTGGAAAAGTACATCGAACAAGTGGCAACGGTATTAGACATTTCTAGTGGAATTCTAGTTTTTACTCTGTTTCGCTTCGTCCATTTCAGTTTCTTTCTTCCTTTCCTTCTTGTCCGTTCTGCCCAGATGAATGTATGCATTGCAGTGGAGAAAATTACGAGGGCAAAATTTCCAAGACCGTGTCTGGACTTGATTGCCAGGCGTGGGACTCTCAGAGCCCACATGCTCATGGATACATTCCTGCCAAGTAAGTCTCACTGGGAGTGGAATTAGATGTTTATGACTCTGCAGTGTTATGGGTAATTTAATGTTATTTAGATATTTTAGCATTCCTCAAAAAGTGAACATACCTGATGTTTTTGAATTTCAAAGTTTGAATCTTCCCACATGACTGCAAATGAAGGATACATTTTTACTACTTAAAATGTGGTCCATGGAAGAATGATATCATCTGAGAGTTTGTTAGAAATGCAGAATCTCAGACCCACTGAATCTGAATTTGCCTTATAACCAGATTCCCGGCTAATTCGTAGGCGCATTAAAATTTAAGAAAAACAGGTACATCTCACTTGTGTATTTTCCAAATATTTCCCTCTTCTCTTTCTTCCTTTCCTTTTCCTTCATACTGATGAGATTCAAGGCTTCCTAGCCTATGATCTGTGGATGGGCTTTAGGGCTTTGTGAGCTCCTCAACATTTTATGTGTATTTATTTCAGTACATTTTTCTGGGGTTGAGGATTCCTAACTTTCACTAGCTTCTCAAAGGGAATCATGAATCTGTAATAGAAATAAGAGTCCCTGATCTAGAAAGTAATGATGAGTTCTACTGTACAATGTTCTACATCTTCTAATTAATTGTACTTAATTGTACACATTAATTGTACACATTAATTGTACTTAAAACACCTCCCTCTCTGTAGCTGCTTCGGTCTTTCTCTTCTTTCTATGACTACTATAGGATTATAACGAGGCTTATACAAACTTATAGGCAAAGAGACTAAGTCACATATTTTAGTGTAGAAAACAGCTCCACTGAATTTCTGTACCTTCCATTCCAAATAGCTATCTTAAAACACAGCTGTTGCCATTTTCCTTTTTCCCTATTGTATTCCAAAGAAGAAATACAGTAAAGCCTCAAGGCTCAGAATTGGGTAAATTTACTTTCAGGAAACTGGGTAAATTTACTTTCAGGAAAGCAATCCTGCAAGAGGATTGCTTAAGCCACTGCTGGTTGCTCTGTCCATCCTGACTAAGCATTTGCCGTCTCAGGAAGGGACGTGAAATGAGTCCAGAGGGGCCCGAGGCGTGGCGTGCATCTCACAGCCTCAGTCACTGGGTCCCTGTTGTTGAGGGGACTCTCTGGCCTGCACACAGGAGCATAGCTTATCCGTCCCAGTTTCTATAAGCTTAAAGGCTAGCAGGACCAGAACCGGGTAGATCAGAAGGACAATTCCTTTAAACTATGAAGACACCAACTTCTCAGCTGTACTGTTTACTAGATGACTATCTCTAGCCAGTAAGTAATTTGTGTTTTAAAAATTGCTATTATTTGCAGCTAAATGATTGGAGTTGGCTTACGTCGGTTTTACAGACGGCCAAAATGATGAAGCTGATCCCATTCTATGATTTTTGCACATGTAAACTGTTAGAAAAACAACCCTTAGAATACTCGGCTAATCTTTCTTATGAGATTGTCATCACATTGAGGATAACCTTCATCCAGTCACCTCCTTGGGTGCCTCACTGTGCCTGGCACACAGTAGGTGCTCAATATTTGCTCATTTGAAATGATTCTCATCCATGGATGTAAATGTTCAGTGCTGTTAAAATCTTTCTTGCACATTCAGATTTCCAAACAAGAATCTGAAGATGAATTACTGTCGTAACCCTGATGGGGAGCCCCGCCCATGGTGTTTCACCACCGATCCCAGCAAACGCTGGGAATTCTGTGACATCCCGAGATGTAGTAAGTATGCTCATACCCAGTCCTCAGGGATCTTCACCTGCTCCTCTCTTGGTATCAAGAGTGCTGTGCCTGAGTGCCATGCCTGAAAATTGCCCTATAAATTCCGTGGGATGTGATTACTCTTTTAAAACAATTTATTGGTTACTGTAGGTAATTGATCAGAGTATCTAGTTACTATGGGGTTTTTTTGGTCCCGTAACATAGACTTCTGCCTTTTTTGAGTACAGATGAATGTAGGCTTTTGGGAGCCATCTCTGACCCTTATGGTTCTCTAGCGCTAAAGGCAAATCAGACCCATGCCTTCTGGTACATGGATTTCATTACCAACCAGAGTTCTTTTTGATGTAAGCAAAGAGGTGTCTCTGGATGTCCAGTTTTTCAGTATGTTCAGCTTGGGAGGGAGCAACAGGAGAAGAGAGGTTGGGCGAGAAGATGAAATGGTCGACCTCGCAGGAATGAGTTGGAAAAAACAATTTTATAATATTTTCCTTCCATGAGAATTTGAAGCAAGGCACTGAACAAGGGCATCTGAGACCATTAAGAAGGACTTAGCAGGCCGTGAAGGCCGGCTTCCCTGAAGGTCATCCTTCGGGACGCTGAGGTGCCTCGGTACCCTCCTTCCTTATGAGCAGCAATTTCTCTTTCTGTCATCTTCTTTTTTTTCTTGAGACTTTCTTTTTTTCTTTTTTTAATTGAAGTATAGTTGATTTACAATATTGTGTTAGTTTTGGGTGTACAGCAAAGTGATTTGGTTATAGATCATATATATATATTCTTTTTCACCCGATTCTTTTCCATTATAGTTTATTACAGGAGACTGACTATAGTTCCATGTACTATACAGTAAATTTTTCTTTACCTGTTTTATATATGGCAGTGTGTCTCAAGAATTTCTTGACTTCTCACTGCATACCCTTTTCCTTGGAGACACTATTTTCTTTCTTCCCATGGACTCTCTCTGTTGTTTGGCTTTGCGGAATATCGGGGGTCACCCAGTTATGTTTACTTAATGAATAATTTATTTTTCATAAAGGAAGTTGGATTGTTGGTACACGTGCAGATTTGGGGTGGGATGTGACACATGTTGATCCTCACCGTGTGTGATGAGCTGGGAAAATAGAGAAAACAGAATCTAGAAGGAAGCATCTACTCCAAGGGTCCTGTCCCTGGAGGAGTTCCTCATGAGATGGTCTTGGAAACATCGATTCTACCACATCAACTTCTTCTGAAAAACGATAAAAAAATTTTCACATGCCAATATCTGGGAGGATGAGTGGGAAAGAAGACAGGCTGACACTCCCTGCATCCATCCATTTCCCCATAATGTCCATCTGTGAATCCTTTACCTAAAAAACATTCATTGTCATGTATTTTTCCCATTTAAGCAACACCGCCACCATCTTCTGGGCCAACATATCAGTGTCTGAAGGGAAGAGGCGAAAGCTATCGAGGGACAGTGGCTGTCACCGTATCTGGGCACACCTGTCAACGCTGGCGTGAGCAGACACCCCACAAGCACAACAGGACCCCAGAAAACTTTCCCTGCAAGTAAGTCTGCTCCGGTCTCTTCCCGGTCAGCTGGATGGAAAGTGAAATCCCATTGACTTTGCCTTGGTGTCAGTGACAATAGAAACCTAGGCTTACAGCATTTGGGAATGAAAACTGACCAAGTCACATGCAAGGGAAGTGAAATTTAGCACTGATTTTCCTAGAACACTGGTTCTCAAAATGTGGTTTCCCAGGCCAGCGGCATCAGCATTATCAGGAAATTTGTTAGAAACGCAAATTCTTGGACCCTACTGTAGATCTACTAAATCTGTAACCTTGGAGCGGGTTTCAGCAACATTTTGACATTTGTACTAAACGTACAGTAAGGCTTGAGAACATTTAAATTCCAGGGCTATGATATATGCTTTTGGAAGCAAAGCGGTGTAGAAAATACCCATTGTGTTTCCAACATACAGCACAGTGCCCAATGCTGTGGGAAAAGACCTATTTTGCTTCATTAGACATAGCCAAGGAATAGATTTCAATCATTCACCCAAGAGAAGCCTCTGTGCCATAATTCTCTGGAATCCTGCTCTGCTTAAGTTCCCACCCATTATTCAGTTTGTATAATTCTAGAGAATTAGCTGGATACATAGCCAACATCACTATTAACAAGCATGTGTGCACTTTGTTATATCTTTAGCCTTTTTGGAAAACCAAACTCACAGTCACTTCTTTTTCAGAAATTTGGAAGAAAACTATTGTCGTAACCCTGATGGAGAAACAGGTCCATGGTGCTATACAACCAACAGTGAAGTGAGGTGGGAATACTGCACGATACCATCCTGTGAGTCCTCTCCATTATCCGTGGAACATTTGGATGCCCCAGGTAAGCAAGGTCAATGAGAGCTTACTGAGAGCTCCAATGCACTCTGTATTTTTCTACTCCAGTAGTAGCACAATATACAGTAGCTTTGTTTACAGTTTCATTGTGTTGTGGTCAGAGAACATGCCTTATGATTTCATTTATTTTCAATGTGTTGAGGCTTGTTTTGTGGTTCAGAATAAGGTCCTCTTGGTGACTCTTTCACATGCAGAATCTGGCTTCTGCTATTGTTGGGTAGAGTGTTCTACAAAAGCCAATTTAGGTCAAGTTGTTTAGTATTGTTTAGCTCTTCTGAATCCTTACTAATTTTCTGCCTCCTGCTCTATCGCTCACTGAGAAATGAATGGTGACGTTTCCAGCTTCAGCTGTTCGTTTCAGTTTTGTGTTTGCTTTATATATTCTGGAGCTCTTTGTCAGGCACAGACACACTTAGGATTGTTGTCTTTTTGAAGAAATGACCCCTTTATCATGTAATATCTCTCCTTATCTCTAGAAATAGTCCTTGTTCTAAAGTCTACTTTTTCTGAAATGAATACAGCCATAAGAGCTCTATTTTTACTAGCATTTGGATGATATATCTTTTTTTTTTTTTTTTTTTGCGGTATGCGGACCTCTCACTGTTGTGGCCTCTCCCGTTGCGGAGCACAGGCTCTGGACGCGCAGGCTCAGTGGCCATGGCTCACGGGCCCAGCTGCTCCGTGGCATGTGGGATCGTCCCGGACCGGGGCATGAGCCTGCGTCGCCTGAATTGGCAGGCGGACTCTCAACCACTGCGCCACCAGGGAAGCCCGATATATCTTTTTTTCCCTCAGTCTTTTAATTGAGATGTTTAGACTGTTTGCATTTTTGTTAACCTGGTCGGATTGAAATCTACCATAATCTACCATAGTTATTTCTACTTGTCCTATTTGAATTTTGTTCCTTTTTTCATCTTTCTCTGCCTTGGCATTAATTGAGTGTTTTGTATTGCCTCATTACCACTGATTTAAGGTTTTATTTTTGATTTTAGTATTTTTTAGTGTTTACAATACACATCATTAGCTTATCATATTCCACCTACGAATAATATTATTTTACTTGATGTATAATGTAAAGAACCTTACAACATTGAACTATTTCCTCCCTCCCAAAATATTGTGCTATTGTTCTCAAAGAGTTTACTTCTATTATGTTAGAAATCTCACAATAAATTGATACTATTTTTGCCCTAAACAGTCATGTTTTAAAGCAATTATAAATTTAAAAAATCTTTTATATTTACTTTCATTTATTTATTTCTACCATTTCTGCTGTGCTTTGTTTCTTTTTGTTGGTTCTCCAATTTCCATCTGATGTCATGTTCTTCCTGTCAAAAACTTAATCTTTACCATTTCTTGTAATACAAGTCTGTTGATGATGAAGTCTTTCAGCATTTGTACATCAGAAAGAGTCTTCATATTGCCTTCAATTTAAAAAAAATAATTTTTGTTGGGTATAGAATTCTGGGTGGATAATTTTTTCCCCTTTTACCACTTTAAAGATGTTACTCTATTACCTTCTGTTCTGAGTAGTTTCTGATGGAAATCTTATCTGTGTTCCTCTGTACCTAATATTTCTTTTTTCTCTGGTTGCCTTTAAGACTTTCTCTCATCTTCGGTTTTCAGCAGTTGATTATGGTGTATCTAAGTGAGTCTGTTTGTTTTTTCACTTATTTATTTATGGTATTTATCTTACTTGAAGTTCTCTGAGCTTCTGGTGTTTGCTGATTGTTGGTTTTCATTAGTTTTGTAAATTTCTCAGCCATTACTGCTCAAATATTTCTTTCCCCTGCTGTCTCTCTCTCTCTCTCTCTCTCTCTCTCTCTCTCTCTCTCTCTCTCTGTTTTCCTTTTCGGGACTTCAATCACCCAAATATTAGACCATTTCATATTGCCTCATACCTCTTATATGCTTGTTCTACTTTTTTCCCCCACTGTTATTTTCTCTTTCTCTTTGTGTGTCAGTTTAATATTTATCAATCTATTTTCAAGTTCACTGATTCTTTCTTCAGTTGTGTTTAATCTCTTGATCAGCCCATTGAAGGAATTTTTCATCTCTGATAACATGGTTTTTATTTCTAGTGTTTGCATTTTATTCTTCTTTTTTTTTTTTTAAAAAAAAAAAAAGAGTTTCCACCTCTGCTGAAATTCTTCACCTATCCATGCATATTGTAGTATGGTACTACAAGATCCTTCAACATATTAATCACAGTTACCTTATAATCTCAATCAGGTAGTCTCCACATCTCTGTCTGGCTCTGAGTCATCACTGAGTCTGGCACTGTTGATTGTTTATCACTCAACAGTGGCTTTTTTCCCCCTTTTTTTTTGGTGTGTCTTGTAATTTTTAATCAAATGCTGGATATATACGTAGAGGAGCAATAACTCTTGAAGCAAATGTTATTTACACTTTGAAATGGGCACCCTTCTTCTTTTATCAGTATGCTATATGGATAATTGAATTGATATAATTAACAGATAAAAGGAATTTGGGTTTTCCTGTTGCTGCTTTTACCTTAAGTGAACCACAGGTTTCAAATCCCTACAGTGATGGGGTGCAATCACTTTGTGCTTAGAGTAGGGTCTGGGGTGCTGAAGAGTTTTCTCAGTATTCCTAATCCCTTCTCAATTGTTAGCAATCACTGCATGCCTGCACCACAGAGGGGGGTCATGCCACACTTCTAACCTGACCCTTTTGATAGACTACTGTTTCTTGTTACTCACTGCTAAGATTTTGGTGGAGGTAGGCATTCTCTATCTTCCTGGTTTACCCTCAGCCTTAGATAGACTCTGTGCACCTGGGCTTTGAAGGTAACGTTTCTCAGTATTCTTGCCCCTTCCTCCCATGGAGCTAAACTCTAACTTATATGTGGGGTGAGTCTTGGGTGGAAGAGTAGCAGACTTCTGTTTTGTGTTGGTGATGTATCCTGGCACAAGAGAATTTTCTGCCCCTCCTCCAGGGTAATAAGATTTTCTCCCTACACCTCCCCGAGAGGCAGTGGATCTTTGCCTTGGTCCTGGATGCAGGACCATTTCCTGCCCCACTCCCCAGCAGCTTGAGGATTTGGCTTTGTATAAGCAAAGAGTCTGGGGAAATGCACAAGGTTTTCATGTCTTCCTCACTGTCACCCTGTCACCACCTGCAGCCTATGCCAATGAATGTGTCTCTTTCTGGAGACCTGCCCAGTTGTTCTCATGATCTCCCAGTGGAGATCCACAGAAGAGAGCTTGCACACGAGTGCAATGTCCAGTTATAAGCACTCTGCCCTGCTTATTTTTTTCTGAGTTTTAAATTAAATATTTACCAAAAAGTTAGGTCCTTAAAGTTTTAGAATGTTATGGATTTATTGTTTTCTTGGCATGTCCATCTGCCTGCCAATATGTAAAACAGAAGAGTGTTAATTCCCAGAGATGACTATTCTGTTTGTTTATTAAATTATTTCACATATTTCTCTGTTCTAGTCATTATTTACTGATTTCTTCTATTTCAATTTCAGTACCACCTGAACAAACTCCTGTAGCCCAGGACTGCTACCAGGGTAATGGGCAGAGTTATCGAGGGACATCATCCACTACTATCACAGGAAGGAAATGTCAATCTTGGTCATCGATGTTACCACACCGGCACCAGAAGACCCCAGAAAACTACCCAAATGCGTACGTCTTTGATTTTTAACCATTAGAGGAGCAACAGCCAACTTAAATTCCTGTTAAAAGGGCCATGATTTAAACAAACGTCTTAGGACCAAATTTCCTTTGGCTCCAGGCTATGAGACAAAATATCTCAGGCAGCTTGCTTTTGAGCAAAATTTCTGAAAGAAGAGAAGCTAGAGGCTGGCTATCTTTCCTGAGTAGTTTTGCAGAAGCAGGGTGGCAGATATAGAGGGGCTGAGGTCATAGTAGTAAAAAGCTCAGAAGAACAAATGATCAAGAGCTTAGAAATAGCATCATTCTACAGCACCTGCTAAAGATCAGTGTGGTCTTTCAACTATGGAATTTTATCATTTCATCCTCCAACTCCTGAAGGGGTTTTGTGTTTGTCATTGAGTAATAAATATAAATATTTATCACCACCGGGTGATAAATATAAGTATTTTTCACCTGACCTGTATAGATACATTGGGTCCTGAGCACTCGTGGTCTAAAGGGATACGAGTTACCAGAACATTAGGAGCAAAAGCAAGAAGGCAGATTGGAGTCAGAAAGTATACAGATACTGAGAGGCAAAATGGACATACAGATGGACAAAAACTAGGTCTGGTCAGACCAGCTTTTCTGCGATAAATGGCTGTAAAACATATGGAAAAACTGTTTTCACATGATGGACACCAGGCAGCACAGGACAGACTTTTCAGAAAAGAAAATAAATTAGAATAAATTTACAAGTACCCTGGTTTTCTTCCTGGAGATACTTCCTGGACTGCAGTTCAAGGAGATGGAACCAAAGCAGACCACAACAGTCTTGCTAAACTGAGGAGACAGAGATTGGAGTTGGGGATTAGTGAGGCAGCTTGGATTTAGTAGGCTGGGTAATAATGAGGAAGGATCTGTGCAGAGAAGGAGCTCCAGAAATATGTATAGAGTTCTCCTTAAGCCTCTGGCTGAATATAAAGCTGCAAATGCACAGGGAGAGATTCCACAATGTTAGTGGGACAAAGAACAACTACTAGGGAACAGTGAGATAAACGGAGATTATAGAACTCACACAGCACTAGGAGATTCTGTGTTTGCAGAGTTGAGATTCTTACTAGCCAGAGAGGAGAGACTTCATGGGGCACCTTGGGCATTCGGTAAGGAATCCAGAAAAGTCACACTTTAGGAGTAGGATTAGTGTATTCCTGGAATAAAGGTTACTCTAGAAAAACACCCTAGCGAAGCTTTAAAGCAATCCTAAAATGAAAATGATCTCCAAGTAAATTAACTGTTTGCCAGAAGAAAAGTCAACACTCTTGAGAGGAAAATAACAAAATCAAGCCACTCAGTAATGTGGTATCTACAACGTCTGGCAGAAATTTAAAAATTACTAGACATGCAAATATCTTTAAATGTGATCCATAATGAGTAGAAAAATCAGTCAGTACAGACTCAGAAATGATAGAAATGATGGAATTGGCAGACAAAAAATTCTGAAAGATATTATAATTGTGTTTAAGGATTTAAAGAAAAAGAACATAAAAGAATCAAATGGATAAAGCTAAAGAGAAAGGAAACTATAAAAGAGGCAAATGGAAAAGACAGAACTAAATATATATATATATATATATATATTTAAGAACTAAATATATATATATATATATATATATATTTAAATATATATCTTAAATGAAAATTTGACTGGATGTCTTTACCATCAGGTAGACAATACAGAAGACATTACTGTTACAATTACATGACATGACATGACATGACAGTACATTACATTACAGTAGACATTACTGTTCTAATTTTCTTACATTGTCCATGACGCTGTATAATATTAATACATGCTTGAATGTGGTAAGTTAGAGAGGGATATTGTAAATCCTAGAGTAACCAATGAAAATGAAAACTCAGAGGAATAGATTATAATAAGGATATTCAATTAATCCAAAAGAAAGAAGAAAAGGAGAGAAAAAGAGTAAAGAAGGCATCGTAGAAACAGAACATAAATAGAATGATGTTAGAGTTAAACCCAGCCATATCAATAAGTATATTAAATATAAAAAGGATAAAACAATGCAATTAGAAGGCAGAGATTGTCAAGTTGAACAAAACCAAAGCCCAGTTATGGTCTCTTTACAATACATGCTCTTTAAATATAAAGACATAAATAAGTTAAAAATCAAAATATGGAAAATTAATACCATAAAAACACTACCATATGACCCAGCAATCCCACTACTGGGCATATACCCTGAGAAAACCATAATTCAAAAACAGTCATGTACCAAAATGTTCATTGTGGCTCTATTTACAATAGCCAGGAGATGGAAGCAACCTAAGTGTCCATCATCGGATGGATGGATAAAGAAGATGTGGCACATATATACAATGGAATATTACTCAGCCATAAAAAGAAACGAAATTGAGTTATTTGTAGTGAGGTGGATGGAGCTAGAGTCTGTCATACAGAGTGAAGTAAGTCAGAAAGAGAAAAACAAATACCGTATGTTAACACATGACAAAGTGAGAGAGTGGCATGGACATATATACACTACCAAACGTAAAATAGATAGCTAGTGGGAAGCAGCCGCATAGCACAGGGAGATCAGCTCGGTGCTTTGTGACCACCTGGAGGGGTGGGATAGGGAGGGTGGGAGGGAGGGAGACGCAAGAGGGAAGAGATATGGGAACATATGTATATGTATAACTGATTCACTTTGTTATAAAGCAGAAACTAACACACCATTGTAAAGCAATTATACTCCAATAAAGATGTTACAAAAAAAAACCCCACTAATCAAAAGAAAGCTAGAATGGTTTTTAACATCAGACAGACAAGATTAATTTAGAATAAGAAATATACCAGAGATTAAAAGGCCATTTTTGAAGTAAAAAGCGTTAACGATGCTAAATGTGTTGACCCTAATAACAGAGGTTCAGATGTATGAAGCAAAAACTGACAGAACTAAAGAGAGAAATAGATGCGTCCACAATTACAGTTGGAGATTTTCTCACTTCTCTCTTGTACAGTTAAAAATTCTCCCCAAACAATACAGTAGGACAAGTAGATGAAAGATTCAGAGAAGATACAGAAGTTTTGGAGGAAAATATGAACCAATATAACATATGCCCAACTTTAGAATACACATGCAAGTGCACATGGAACATTCACCAAGGTATATCATATACTTGGCCTTGAAATAAGTCCCAATAAATTTAAAAGGATTAAAATAATATACAGGTGTCTTCTGAGCCAACAGAATTAAATGAGATATAAATAATGAAACATTTAGGAAATTCTCAAATATTTGGAAATTAAAGAACACATTTCTAAATAACCCATGAGTCAAAAAAGAAATCACAAAGGAATTCAGGAATCAGTGGTACTGGCAAAAAGATATACAAATGGAAAAAGGGAAAGTCTGGAAACAGACCCGCAACATGTATGGTCAGTTGATTTTCAATATACCTAGCGAAGCAATTCAATAGGAAAAGGAAAATTTCCCCCAAATTGTTCTGGAACAACTGAATGTCCATAAAGGAAAAAACCCCAAAACCTTGACTCCTACCTGCCATGTCAAATTCACGTGAGAAAACTCTTAGACCTGAAAGTAAAGGTTAGAACTAAAGCTGAACTTTAAAGCTTCTGGAAAAAAAACATGAGATTATTTTCACAGCCTTGGGGAAGGCAGACCAGTTTTGGATAGGATCCAGAAAACATTATAAAAAAATTATAATGTGGGCTTTAATAAAATGAAAACTTTGCTCATCAAAAGTCATTGTTAAGAAAATAGACAAGGGCTTCCCTGGTGGCGCAGTAGTTGAGAGTCCGCCTGCCGATGCAGGGGACACGGGTTCGTGCCCCGGTCGGGGAAGATCCCACATGCCGCGGAGCGGCTGGGCCTGTGAGCCATGGCCGCTGAGCCTGCGCGTCCGGAGCCTGTGCTCCGCATTGGGAGAGGCCACGACAGTGAGAGGCCCACGTACCACAAAAAAAAAGAAAAAAGAAAGAAAATAGACAAGTCAGGGACTGGGAGAAAAATAGTCTCAATCCATATATCTGACAAAGGGCTTGTATCTAGAATGTGTAAATATCCCTTCCACCCACCAGTAAGAAGACAAACAACCTAATTAAAAGGGGCAAAAGACTTTAATAGACATTCCACAGGGAAAGATATACAAATGGTCAATAAGCACCTGAAAAAATGTTCAACATTTTAGCCATTGCAGAAATAAGAATTATAACCACAGTGAGATACTACTAAATACCCAATGGCAATGGCTGTTATTAAAAAGACAGAAAATAAGAAGTGTGCCCAGGCTGCGGAGCAGCTGCAGCCCTCACACATGTTGGTAGGAATGTAAAATGGAACGACCACTTTGGACACCAGTCCAACATTTTCTTATAAAGTTAAACGTGCATCTGCCTACAAACCTGCAATTCTATCTGTGAATACTCACCCAAGCGAAATGAAACATAAGCCCCCAAAAAGATCTACCAGAAAGTTCTTAGCAGCTTTATTCATAAAATAGCCCCAAACTGGCAAGCACTTCAGTGGCCATCAATAGGAGCATGAATAATTGGTGGGATATTCATACCATGGAATACTATTCAGAAATAAAAAGGAACAAGCTACTGATACTCTCAAATAGCATGGAGAAAGTTCATAAACACTATCGTAAGGAGAGAAGCCACACATAAAAGGTACATACTTGTATGAGCCCATTCATATGAAGTTCCAGAGAAGGCAAAACTAATTTATGGTGAAAGAAATCAATAGCATTTGCGTCTGGGGGGCAGCTGAGATTGATTGAGCAGTGACCCAAGGGAGGTTTCTGGGGCTGATGGAAATGTTCTCTATCGCACTAGGAGTGTGGGTTATACAGGTATGTGTGTTCATCAAAACTCGTCAAACTACCTTAAAAAAAAAAAGGGCAGTCACAAAGCACCGAGCTGATCTCCCTGTGCTATGCGGCTGCTTCCCACTAGCTATCTACCTTACGTTTGGTAGTGTATATATGTCCATGCCTCTCTCTCACTTTGTCACAGCTCACCCTTCCCCCTCCCCATATCCTCAAGTCCATTCTCTAGTAGGTCTGTGTCTTTATTCCTGTCTTACCCCTAGGTTCTTCATGACATTTTTTTTTTCTTAAATTCCATATATATGTGTTAGCATACGGTATTTGTCTTTCTCTTTCTGACTTACTTCACTCTGTATGACAGACTCTCGGTGCCTGGAGGGGTGGGATAGGGAGGGTGGGAGGGAGGGAGACGCAAGAGGGAAGAGATATGGCAACATATGTATATGTACAACTGGTTCACTTTGTTATAAAGCAGAAACTAACACACCATTGTAAAGCAATTATACTCCAATAAAGATGTAAAAAAAAAAAAAGCAAAAAAAAAAAAGCAGGAGTCTGTTTCACATGACAAGCTTTTTAACACATCCAGGGGCTCAGAAACCTGCTAACGGGCTTCCTCAAATTGTGGGCCTGGGCTTGAGACTGTCACTTGTCTGTAGTACCCACAGACACATTGCTGTTGGATTCCCATAATACATGGTATGTTTCAAACTACCTCATAAGCCTCAGGCCATAAGTCTAAGCTGCAAAGGGGAGTCCAAGGCTGAGACTTCTGAGAGGCTGGGGCGAAGTTCTGGACCTGGGGATCCAAGTTGCCCAGTGAGCCCCAGGCTGCTTGTCTGCTATGTCCTTATCCAACTGTTTCTGATTCGGCTCCCACAGACCCCATGGTCTATCCAGACGTCTCCCTTCATCCCTTTGATCCCACTGTCCTTTAGTCACACCCCCTCCCCACAGTCCCCGAGTGGCTCCAGCTAGAGGGGTCTGGGGTTCCTCCCCGTATGCCCCAGAATGCATCCTCTGGAAACCTCATCCTGCTTGGGAGCTAGTTTTCCAGGAAGGCTTCCACAAGCCTTCCAATCCCCAAACCCACTTGATCTACCTATGATATTTACAGTAATATTACTGTCATGAGTTTTTGTTTCATTGTAAAATACAATATGAGTAAATAGACTAAGAGAGCGGGCCTGGGAATATCTGTCAATATCATCTTGTATGTCTTTTCTGCCTTGGTTAAATATGTTTTGGTTCCAACTTACGTAGCCCTATGTACTCACATAGAGAGAGAAAGCCAGAGATACAGATATATTTGTATGCGCCTTAAAAAAAATCTAAAATACATGCTTCAGAATCCATATTGGTTATCCCTGGGGAATGTATTTAACATTCCCAGGGAAAGTTAGACATTCTGATAGTTTCTCTTATACATTTATACATGATCTGTTTTTATATGGAGCATATATTACTTTTGATTTTTTTTTAACAAATTTATTTACTTTTGGCTGCATTGGTTCTTCACTGCTGCGGGCAGGCTTTCTCTAGTGCATCGAGCAGGGGCTACTGTTCCTTGCGGTGTGCGGGCTTCTCACTGCGGTGGCTTCTCTTGTTGCAGAGCACGGGCTCTAGGCGTGTGGGCTTCAGTAGTTGTGGTGTGTGGGCTCAGAAGTTGTGGCTCGCGGGCTCAGTAGTTGTGACTTGCTGGCTCCAGAACACAGGCTCAGTAGTTGTGGCGCATGGGCTTAGTTGCTCCACGGCATGTGGGATCTTCCCAGACCAGGGCTCGAACCCGTGTCCCCTGCATTGGCAGGCGGATTCTTAACCGCTGCACCACCAGGGAAGTCCCTTGATTTTTTAAAGATAAAAACTATAACCTATTTTTAAAAACGTACCCACTTTGTAAGAAGTTGAGGACCATCTGTGCTTGTGACATTATAATAATAATTGGTACCTTTGGTACCTTAACGGAAATATTTCAGTCACTTTGTTGTAACAAAATTCAGAGGGTGCTGGGGTTCCCCTGAAGATTCGCTCACCTCTCATGACCTATACTGTTGTGGAATTTACAGTGGCTTGACAATGAACTACTGCAGAAATCCAGATGCTGATAAAAGCCCTTGGTGTTATACCACTGATCCGAGCGTCAGATGGGAGTTCTGTAACCTGAAGAAATGCTCAGAAACACAAGAGCAGGTCACAGAATCTTCAGCTGCTGCCCACGTTCCAAGTATAGTGGATCCTTCTGAAGCAGGTAAGAAGTCTGTGGCCAGACATCTGTATAGTTGGGTATCGGGATGGTAAGAGATGGAAAATCTTTGGGATGCAGAGACCTCATTGTTACAGGGAGCTGGAGTGCTGGCTGAGTCTGCGATATGGAAGGAAGCCTCAGTGTATCACCTGGGGGAGCCAGAGCTGTTCTTGCCGGCATGATGGGGTAGGGTGTTTCTTTAGGATTTGAAAACTAGTTGGTTGTGAGGGATGGATACAATTTTGAGCCTGGGTGGACTGACATGTTGATGATGGTGGCCGAGATGGGACATTCTAGAAAAGCAAGTCTCTGCCTTTTGCATGGAGGGATAGAAATGGCTGATTTGGTTTTGAATGTACAGAGTTAGGAGGGCTAGGAGGTCCGTCAAAGATCATCTCCCACAAACACCTGGCGAAGCTGACATGTAGCTCCAAGGGTTTCGGGGCCTGAGCATAAGAATGTCGTTGTCATCTGAGGTGGGAGACATGAAAATATCACAGTCCTCTCTGTTTCCCTGGCCCTTCGCCCACGTGTAGCTCTAAGTGCTTAGCCCCTGGTCCTGTGGTTGTCAGGTGGCGGGAAGTGCTCTGCGCTGCAGGGTAAGGAAACAGAGGGGGCTCATTCTCCCCCTGTCCCGGAATGAAAACTCAGGGGTCCCATGGCTTGTCCGACCACTTTCAGATAATCCAAAATCAGACAGAAATGATTAAATGAGAACTTGGTTTCAAGTTGAGACCCCCCCTCTCCTTCCGGAGGTAGACTTGCCTCCTCCAAGATGCTGGAGAAACCTCACCTACTGCTCCCTACTGTACACCTGTACAGCTGCTGTACACACAGGGCCAGCTCATCTCTCCCCACTCTTTCTTAGTGAGAGTCTGAGTGCCCTGCTCCAGCTGGGGATCCCTCCTGATAAGACCTTGCATGGCCTCATGTGATGCCCCACACTTGGTGTGTGAGTAACTCACACAGCCTGGTCCTGGCAAACACTGGAGGCTGCCTAGCCCAGCCCTGCTCCTTGGCCGGGAAGCCAGCTGGCCCAGCTTTTGCTTTGTGGATTTTCCAAGTGGCCATCAGAGCACTGGGCACTGGGTCCCCATATGTAACACACATCAAGTTCTCTGAGGGGTTCTGCCGAATCCCCCAACTGCAAGGCTTGAGGTGAGGGGTGAGTTTGGGGAAGGGGCCTCTAGTCATCTCTTTATTACCTCTTTCATCCCAGAAGGTGGGAACTCACAGCACAGCTCTGGCCAAAATAATATTTTTTATAAAATCTTTTTCAATCCGCACTCTTTCTCTCCATCCTTGTTGAGGTGTTCAAGAATCATCTAACAGTTCACGGTGGCGTCTGTGTTACCACTCAGCTTGTTATAAAATTGATTATCTTAGTGTCCTGGCCAAACCTCCCACTCTAACATCTCGGCTTGTGATTATTTCTGAGCCAATAGCGTTTCTGGTAACTTGTCAAATTCAGCAGAGCTCACTGAAGCCTTCAGCACTCCTGTGTTCTGAAGGATGTGACCACAGTCTGTCCTGAGAGAAACCTAGCACCGCCGCGTTTGTTCCTTGTCACCGGCTCTGTGTAATGACAGGAGACCACCATTCTCTCTCCCCTACAGACTGCATGTTCGGCACTGGTAAAGGATACCGGGGCAAGAAGGCGACCACGGTGGCCGGTGTCCCCTGCCAGGCGTGGGCTGCCCAGGAGCCCCACAAACACAACATTTTCACTCCAGAGACAAACCCACGGGCAGGTTTGGAAAAAAATGTAAGCCACTTTGATTTGGACTCGATTTTGCCTTTTGTTGACCAGTCTTTGCAAACTGAATTGACCCTCTGTTACAGAAAGTCAGCCTGACTGAGCTTCGGTGTGGGGTGGAGAGAAAGATGTGCGAGAGATTCCAGGGGACAAAGCGTAGGATGTAACCGGCCTCAGCGGGGGAGGGGGAGTTAGCACGGGCAAGCCAACCTCCCTGCTTCTTATCACTTCCATGTGTGACATTTCCTGCCTGCTTTTGTTACTGGTTTATGGTTTCCAGTGATCAAAGATGACCTTCATGGCATTGTAGTTGGATTCTTCTAGAAAAAAAACGGATGCATAATTAGGACTCCACTAGGATTTCCTCTAGTCCCACACATTCTCTGGGGTGGTTTCCTCTGGGGTATAGGTGTGTAGCGGGAAGGAAAAGCTGACCCACAGAGGGTGCCCAGGCCAGGGTAACATGCAGTTCTGAAGCCACAGCAAACAGGCGCCATCAAGCAGAAGACTGACGTGAGCAAAGGGACAGGACGAGTCATCCACGTCTACAGTCCCCTACTGCCGGGTCCCTACGGTCCCCACGGACACAGGCTGCTGAGCGGGGAGGCCCCTTTATACAGTATCTAGCTCAAGACACCCCAGGGTCTTCACCCCTTCCCCAGGGGAGTGGCCTCAAGGTTGGAGCTCCTTTTGAATGAGGAGAAGTGACTGATGGCATTCTGTGAGTCAGATGCTTGATAAGCATCCTGAAATGATAACTTTGCCTGCCTCCCCACCAAAGGAACACTAACCCTTCATCTTCTAAGGACAGCAGTGAAACCAGTGTCTGCGCCTCATGTGACATTCTCTGCCCTCTCCCGCCCCGGTGTGCGCCACCCCCTATATGCCAGCCTCATGTGACATTCTCTGCCCTCTCCCGCCCCGGTGTGCGCCACCCCCTATATGCCAGCCTCTTTTTCCAGTACTGCCGCAATCCTGATGGTGATGTCAATGGTCCCTGGTGCTACACGACAAATCCAAGAAAACTTTTTGACTACTGTGATGTCCCTTATTGTGGTAAGCTTCTTTCTTTTGTGGAAGGAAATGACTTCTAAATAAATGCAGCATCACCTGGTCTTAGATCTGCAAGACAAGAGTTTGGGCTGAGCGCTTCTGGGCAAGAGAGGGTCCCCTCTCCTTGGGATCCCTCTTTGCATCCTGGGCCTCTTGAATCTGTCCTACTCGTGACCCCCTTTGCTAGGCACCGCCCCCTCCTCTGACTCTGTAAATAAAATAAATGCAAAATCCTCCAAAAGAACAACTTCAGAGGTGATCTAATCAGCCTCCAGACAGTTCCACTGAACTCTCCAGTGTCTGGGGTGGGAGGCATGAAACACAAATTTAGAGTCACCCAGATAGGAAACTCTCTCTTTCAGCAGCTGAGAAGAAAGAAAGAAAGTACAAACAGCAGGAAACTGCTAAACATACAACATACATTGTAAACCTATAAACTGTCATCCTAAGAATTCAATGAAAAGTAACACAGCTCTTTACAAAGCCCCAACTCTCTTTATCCTAAGATGCCTATGCATTAGCCATGCATTAGCCAGATAACTTAGAGGAAGCTTGCTGCGTTCTTTCCTCATTTCTCTGAGACTTTTCTAGGGAGTGAGAAGCTTGGATCAGTGAAAGGAGAGTTGAAGTTAGTTCTGAAAAGTTTGGGGTAACAAGTCCATACATAGGTAACAAATCCATAGATAGGACCTTTCTAGGGAGTGAGAAGCTTGGATCAGGGAAAGGGGAGCTGACGTTAGTTCTGAGAAGTCTGGGGTAACAAATCCATAGATAGGTCTGGAGAACAATGCAAACCACTTTGATCTGGACGCTATTTTACTTTCCGCTGACCCATCTTTGCAAACACCATCTGTCCTGGTTCCCACTAATCAGCCTGGACTTCTCCTTTGCACCGTTTGATGGCATCTGCTTGTGTCTGCCACGTGCGGGGACAGGCTGGAGCAGAGAAGTTGCTGCTGCAAAGCCACTTAAGTCCATGTCGGGAGACGGTTTGGGAGGCAGTTTGGGGAAGGGGTTGAGAGCTCTGGAGCCACACTGTTGGTCTTCGATTTTGGGCCACTGCTGGGTAGAGCAGGGGGAGGACAGAGAGGTCAGGGTGACAGGAAAGATTCTACTTGGTTGCTGTCCTTGTGCTCTCTGGACTCGGGGAATTTATAGCTGACTCGTTCTCCAGTGTGTGTTTGCTGTGCACAAGCTCTCTCGGTGGCCCTCCATCTGAGAGCCCCTGGTGGGGTTAGCGCCTCCCTTTCCGCTCCTCCCTGCCACCCTGCAGCTTTCTGGTACCCCACTGCCTCTTACCGCGGGGCCTCGCTGTCCTGGACAGGGTGCCTATGTGGCACGATTGCCTTTAACTTGTAGAGCTTGACAGTCCCGCCCCGGCCTCTATAGCTGTGCCTGGGATTCATGCACCTCCGATTCCCACTGAAGGGAAGCACAGTAACGTCCCAGGTGCAGCCCTCAGTCACCACCAGACGCTCTCAGCTTCTCAAGTGTGAGGCAGGCCTGGGTATCCTTCCACAGGAAATACGTCTCAAGATCAGACCACGTGGTCTGATAACGTGCCCACATCATGAGGAAGCGGGGACCTCAGGGTCCGCTGGAACAGCCCTCTCTCCATCCTTTCTTCTTTCTTCCATCTCTAAGAACCTGATTCTTTTCCATCCTTGACTTGGGTAAGGGTACCAGCATTGAAGGAGAGGCTATTTGCCTTGAAGTCTCTGCAGATGGAGGTTTACCTTACACATCTCCGGGCATCCTTGGGGCCTCTGTTGAATCTTCCAGTGCAACATCTTTTTACATACCCACCGATCAGGAGGTAAAGATTACAAACCTCAGCTGTTTCCTTCTTTCTAGTGCTTAGAGCAATGCCTAGTACATGCCAGGCACTACGTATATATATTTGAATACATATTTGCTGAATGAGTAAATTCAGCAAATATGTATTCAAATAAATGAACGAAATCTCAAATCACAGTTCCTCCAACATGTCAGGTCGGTGCTTAAAAGGGTGACTTATCCCAGGTTCAGGGTACTTTCTGTGTGTGTGCTCGTATGGCTTTCGATAAGTTTATTCAGATTTTTCAGAATATGAAATCTCTTTGAAGTATGACTTTGTTTTTTTAGGTTATTTTCATTTTCTCTGTTTTTTAAAAAAGATTTTTATTGCTCATTCCTGGGAGATTTTGGATTTCCTTTATGTAAGTGAGAAATTTCCTAATGGCAATTTTCCTTAAAATTTCCAAACTTTACATTGTCTGTAATTCACATGGAAAACATCTTTAAAATGAAAAAGTAACACTGATTCACTTTTTAGGCTACACGTAAACTTCTTTAAGCAACTCACCTGAAAAATTTGTGTAAATATTCTGTGTTGTTAAAACAATGGCACCATGCAAATTGCACATAAGTAATAGCATAAGTAAAACAATTTGAAATCAGAACTATATTCTATTCAGCCCAGGATTCTGCTTCTCAATTTTATCAAGGGATTGTATTGTTTTTCTCTTTCATATTAACTTCAAAAATTGAAAGATGCCCATTTTAAACATAATTTTATTTATTTATATTCATTTATTTTAAATTGTAAATTTTTGTTAATTGGTTTTAACAACTCATTTCAATTCCATCAACACTAACAGTAAAAATAATAAGTAAGTAAAAATAAATAGAACTTCAGTTTTGTTTTGAATACTAAGACCAAGGCACTATAATATCTGTAGTTATTCTTTTCTTAGTCCATTTCTGTAAGTCTATTCTGTGTAAGACACAGTAAGAGAAATTAAGGTCAGTGTTAGAGAGTAGGATTTCATTATATTGCATGCTTCTTTAAAAAAAAACTTCTGTATATAGATTCTCAGAATAGGCCAAGACAATTGGAAAGGTATTTGGAAAATTCCGATTCCAGATTCACTAGAGGATAGAATCTCTTGGTTGATTAAGAGCAAAAACTTTCTCCTTGTAATGTTATTCTTAACAATGATTTATGCTTCTATTTTTGAAGATCTTAAAGGGCTCCAGACAATGGAGAAGCCCTTTATGAATACCTTGTGTAGCCCCTGACCTGTTCTAGACATTAGTAAGTGGCACCAACCAGAGATGGAGCATGAACCCTAATCTGCAGGAACCCTGCAGGCCAGGTGGAGAGAGAAAGCAGGTGGCAGAGTGAATAGACAGGAAGGCAAGCGAACGGAAGTCATCCCCGTGGCATTGGGTTAGTCTTGGGAGGCTCCCTGGAAGAGCCATCCTGAAACTGGCTGAGAGAAGGCATTATTTCAGTTTAGGACTGTTATCCTTGCCACACACACACACACACACACACACACACACGCACACACGCACACATGCGTGCACACACAGAGATTCACATTTAAAAAATACTCTTAGTGCCTTTCAACGGGGATGACAATTATGGTTTTCGGTAAACTTTACATGGCTCAGATCATGATGGTGACGATGATTCACTCTCTAGATATATCACATCAAGTCAGAATAACAATTTGTGTCAGTCAAGCTCCTCTCCAAAAAGCTCTTATTCTAATGCCTAACTCTTCCCAATGTATTTAATCACTTCCTTAAGAAAGCAGTAAAAAAAAAAAAAAAAAAAAAAG